GATAAATGAATAAATAAAATGTGGTATATTCATACAATGGAATATAGTAAAAAGTAACAAAGTACTGAGACATACTACAATATAAATGAAACTTAAACCTGGAAAATATTATGCTAAGTGAAATAAGCCAGTCACAAAAGACCTCAAACTATATGATTCCATTCATATGAAAGTCCAGACTAGGTTAAACCTACAGAGACAAAGGATAGATTAGTGGATGCTCAGAGCTGGGGGAGCAGAGAAGGAATGTGGAGAATGGAGGGTGATAGCTGAAGGGTATGGGGTTTCTTTTTGAGGGGATGAAAATGTTCTACAATGTAGTGATAGTTGCACATATTTGTTAATATACCAAAACCCACTGACTTGTATATTCTAAATAGGTGAACTGTATGGTATATCAATTATATCTCAATAAGGCTGTTAAAAAAGAAGAAATTGAAACATTTCTCCTTGACCCCTCCAAGGGTTTCGAATCAGCTTTCCTTGCCCTTGAAAGATGACTGTATCTTTGTGCTGCTAAAGACTGAAGTGGTTTTCTGCTGATTTCTTTCTCAGGGTTTGAGGGGTAATGGCTTAAATGAGAGGGAAGGGGCTGGGGTTCTAGGGCCAAGTGTTGAAGTTAGGAACTTGGATGTCTGAGCTCTGAGGCCCTGAATGTGTCCAGGCCAGCTGCTAGAGCAAAACCACTGGGCAGGGCACCACTGTGGTGTCCTGGTGTCCTGGGGCTTTTCAGAGCCAGAAAATGGCCCCAGCACCATTGTCTGAGAACAGCTTTCCAGGGAAGGCCCTGCCTGAGCCACAGGTTTGTTTAGTTATGGAGGGGTGAGGGGATGGTAACCTCCCCACCCTCAATGATGCTTCAATCCTTGAATGCTGAGTCATTTGGTCCCCAGACAAGAAACCTCTGTACTGGCTCCAGGAGGCCTATAAGCCATTGGGAGGGTTGCTGTACTTGAATCAGCACTGAGGGAGGAGGGGCTCGAGGAGAGAGGGACACCCTTCATCACTCATCACGATGGATGGTTCTTCTATGGGCAGCCTGAGTCTCTCCTGAGTAAAAGTGCAGGGTGCGGATTAGATCAGGGTTCCATCCGATGCTCCTATCTTTGCCCACGGGTTCTGATTCTTTTCAAACCATATTCTAAGTAACCATGGCCCACTTCCAGTCCTGGAGCCTCTCCAACTGCTAATTCCCATTATGCAGGACATCTGGGGAAACGGAAAGGGAAAAAAAAAAGTCCTAATGTTGATACTGCCCCAAGGCTACCATGAGAATAACAGTGGCCATGAACACATTTAACTTTAAAACTAAAGTCCAGGGTCAGTTTTTTTCATTCCACTTTTTTTTTTTTTTACAAATCCTAGCCAAAGAGTTGGGGTAACTACAGAGGTGTAGAAATAAATTTACCCTAAACTGTCCCAGTGCAGCTAATAAGAGAAAGTTGTCCAATTATCACGGAGCTGACAGCCCGTCACATTTTCCACTGATGCACTAGACGTGACTAAACTGCACAGGGACTGGCCGGGGGCTGGATTCCCTTTCACTGTGCTCAGCAGGAAGAGGCCAGCATTGTCCTCTACCCATGTCATGAACCTGACATAACCCTTAGTCATGGAAGAGGAGGCCTGGCATGTCACCAAGCCCAGGCTTTCTGCTTAGCCTGTGTACCCTGGGAACTTTTCATTATTTCAAGGTCCAGATTGTGCCCAAGCTGCAGGGAGACCAAATTTCCAGACAAGAAAACAAGACATGTTGCTATTTCAACAGCCATCTATTACAACACTGAACAGCAGGGCTCAACGGATATTTGATCACCCATAAAAGTTACAGCTTAGAAAATGAATTTATTATTGGTTGGTCCCTTTATACATCACAGAGAAAATACAGAACCGAGAGTATACATACCAATAAAGGTCATTGTCATTGTCTCTTAAGTTTAAGTCTCTCTGCTAGCAAGTAGAAATAACGTGAAGAAGAAAGGCACATTTTAGGAGGAAGAAAGCAGAAAAGGAACTAGCAACATAGAGGCTGATGTTTACTTTCCTTTTTAATTTAAAGATTTTCTAGTCTGATTTAAAAAAATATGAAGCTTCATTTTTTTCTCCATTGCTGCACATACTGTTGTACATTAGATCAAAGTAGGGAAGTAAATAAAGCGACGATTCCAGGAGCTGGTGGACTTTCGGCCCTGGCCACCCTCGTTTCCTCCACGTTCCATCCTTCAGTGCACACGGAACTCAGGTTACATGGACGATTCCAACAGAGGCAGGGACTTCTTGTACTTTGTATTCAGAATAACTCTAGGTACCTAACGTCCCCCAAATTCAGGCAGGGAGACGATTTTTTAAAAGGAGAAACACCCTTAACCAAGCTTTAACCTGGAGACTTGAGCTGCTTGCCAAAATATGCCGTCTTTTTGAGTCAATAAATTGAAAGCAGGAGAGAGGGAGTGTGGCTGTAACTGGATAAGGGGTAAGGTTTTAATTTTTTACAAGCAGAGGGAGGAGGATACCAACATGGTTAGTCAGTCAGCCAGCATTAATCCTCATTAATGTCTCCCATTCAAATCCATTCTCCTCTGCACAGCTGTGCAAATATAAATTAATTGGGTCATTTTGATGAAGGCGCACAAGAAAACAAAATTTAATGTGAGGAAAAGGAACTAATTGGACAAATCACACATTCTTTAAATGTGTGGGAAGGATTGTTCCAACTACCGTATCATAGACTGGGGGACACACATTCGAATTCATACTGCTGTAAACTTCCCTACATGAGAAGCTACCAAAGAGCAGAAGGTGGGGACATGTTTGTGATAAAGCACATAATAAATGGCCAGGGGGAGAACAGGGCCACTCACTCTTCACCAGCCACTGCCGACTAAAATGAGACCGGGTTTCTAAGCATGACATTATCCTGTTTTCTATTAATATATACTTGGCATCATGCTTGCATTATGGAGAGTAGGAAAAGGTAGGGCCATCTCTTGCCCTTAATGAATTTACAATCTGACTGGTGAACCAGGAGGGACACATGTGAAATAATCAGAAAACTGGAACAGGAGCACAGCATTAGAGTCTGCATTTTTTAGCTGAAGGAAGCAATTTACAGGAGCTGGGGGAAAGTGGCTATAATTCATCCATGCAACTTTTGAGAAGGATTTCCACCAGACTCAAAACGAAAAAACAAATTACAGAGAGAATACCATATTCTAGTAAATACTGATTCATTTCTGCCATGGTATGGATGTTCAAAAAAGACTCTCCCTTTCAGAGATTTCCCTTAAGATAGGACAGGAGGACAGTCAGCCCATCCCTCAGCTTCATGTTAAGGATTAATAAAAATGCCCACAGACTCCTGGAAAGTCAGAGAAGAGAGACAAATTCCTGGACTTCAATCTGACTGAGATGTGGCAACCTCTCTCAGCCTCCAGGCACTAAGAAGATTTGCATCATCTGTTTGGTTCTTTCCATCGGAAATTACCCATCCCAGGGTCTCTGACTGGCAAAAAGGGGCAGATTTGAGCTAGGGACGCGTGAACATTCTCAGACGAAGAAGATGAAGAGGCATAGCTCCAGAAATTGGATGAAAAAGTACAGGCATGCCAAAAATTATCCTGCAGTTTACTCCAGATTCACAACCCTCATGCCTGGATAAGTGTGTGTGGGAACTATGATAATGGTTCTCAAGCGATCTACTTCCACTCACTTTGCTATTGTTAAATTTCTGTTGTGTTCTTAATGTTTAACTTCAGGCGTATGTGAATTTAAAAATCGCTGTATTTTTAAGTGGGATGATACACTGCTCTGATGAACTCCTTTCTCCCTGTGTGGACAGAATTCAGAATTCAGTCAGAAGAGCTGGGGAGCATGTGGGTAGCTGACACCACCTTGACTGTGACTCAGGTTTCATGAGGTATCAGGTGAAGATGCAAAAACAAACCTACTGACATTTGTTGGAGTGAAGGGTAGGTCGATTGCATGGAGAGAAGGGCCTGCAAGCTTTTGCTTTTCAGGCAGGCTCCCAGGTCAGCCTTGACACTCCTGGAGAGTCCAAGCAGTGTGAGGGTCTTTACTGCAGAGTAATATTCCCAAAATGTCCTGACCAAAAAGCAAAGAGCTCAGTTTAAGCTCCTGGTGAGTGGTTCTCAATTCCATAGAATCACCAAGGGAGCTTTGAAAAAATATTCATGCTGTGCCCTACCCTAGTGATTCTGATTTGGAGGGTCTTTAGGAGAGGTGTGGGGGTGGAGGTGGGGCTGGCCACTGTGATTCTAACATGTAACCAGGTTTAGAACCACCATATTGAACATGGCCTGAGATACCTAAGCAGTGTGTGTGGCTATTCAATCAACAGATGCTGAAATGAACAGAATTCTTCTGTTCCTTTAAAACCTTCCTCTAAATTTTATTTCTTTCTGGATCTTGAGGACCTAAGAGTGTTGGCTGCCTGGATTACCACTTACTAAGTTATACCACTTACTAGCTAAGTGATCTCAGACAAGGTACACAACTTCTCGGAGACTCCCATTTTCTTAGTAATACAATGGGGTTAATAATCACACCAATACCAGAGAGGAGTTGAGATGATAGCATGAAATCAAGAATAAATTATTTGGCCCAGGCCGAGTGGCTCAGTTGGTTAAGAGCTCGCTCAAGAGTGCGAGCTCTGAGCAACAGCAGTTTGAGTCCCAGCCCGAGCTGAGCTGCCAACAGGTAGCAGGATGGCCTAGCTAAAAGAAAAAAAAATTATTTGGCCCAATGCTTAGCACATGTAAAATACACAATAAATATTAGCTATCATGATTGATGATGATGAAAGTAAAAATAAATATACTAGTTATTTTTCAATAAAAGGGATGTTTTTCAGGTCCAGGTTGTAAGGAATTGTGAAACACTAGAAAGTGAGAGTTAGAAATTTAGCATTTCCTTCAATTATGACTATAGGCAACCCCCCCAGCCCTCCCCCCACCCCCCAGTAGCAGCAGCAGTATCTGTAATCTTGTCGCCAATAGAAATCAGATATTTCCATCTCTTACAGTCATGGTAGAGAACCTAAAATAGTATTTGTATTTAGTGTGACCAACTGCCCTGGTTTGCCAAGGACTGAGGGGTTTCCCAGGATGCAGGACTTGTGGTGCTAAAACTGGGAAAGTCTCAGACAAATCATTCCCTAAGTACGTTCATCAATACTTAGATGATAATTAGCTTATCACTAAGTGCCACTGTTCAACGTGTTAATAAAGAAGTACTGAGCCTGCTATGTCACAATTTCAAAAAATATATTATTAAATGTATATCCATGTAATCTGTATCCTTTACAATGCTTTGTATTTTATTTGATGCATTTCAAAAGCATTCTTCTGAGTCTACAGCCCTCACCAAATTGCCAAAGGGGGTCCATGGCCCAAAAAAGGTTAAGAGGGGAGAAACTGAAAACATTGATTGGAAAATGTTGAAGAAACCAGATTGTCAGTTACTTTAGACTTTGCAACCTAAAAACATAGTAAAAGAAGCCATAGGCCTGTATCCGCAAAGGACACAACAGGTCATCAATTGATGGAGTTTTCCCATGACCAGGAGTTTCTGTCTTGTAATTCCATACACAGTGCCAGGGAATTTCTGTAATTTCTCTACTCCTCACATATATACATGTATTTTGTCACTTACATTATTGCAAACTTAACTCAATCTTGATAGCTATCAATTGGATAGCAATCTGTTAGGTCTACTATTTTCCAACAACTTCAAATGTTTCCCCTATGAATCATAATTTGACAGAGCTTAAAATTTTCTATGAATGAGTGCAATGAAACTTTAGATTTTAAAAGATCAAGCTTAAAGAAATGATCAAAACAAATTTTAACTCTTACTGGATACCACTGGGCTTCTGATAGACACCGGCTCCCATCTTGACAAATCACCACAGTTGACAGCCGTCCTGTTACTCTCCCACAAGGCAGTAAGAGACCACTTCTCTTCTGATCAATATAACTGCAAGCTTCCAGCCCAATGTGACCAGAAGGCAGAGTTCTCACAATGGCTCTTGTCCCTGTATACACGGATTTCTTAACCTCCTGGTCATTTTTACAAAATCTCCTCACTAACAAAGTGGACCGCTCCTTTTTACTTTTTAAAAAATCTTCTACATCTTCACAATTATCAGGGAAGTCCCCAAAATGGCTCAGAAAGGTCTTGGCAGATGGACTATCAGTAAAATCTTCTCTGCAAAAGCTGTCACTTGAGCATGCCATGTTGGCCTTTTGGCAGGAACCGTCACAGCACAAATATTTTTCATTCAAGGTGTCACAGTGATCACACTGCAGCTGGCTAGTCTCATTATCACAGTTTTTCGCCAATTCCATCAGCTTACAAGTATATGCCATATAATTCTTCTTTTGCTCCCCACTAACACCAGGCAGCGATACACAGTTTCCACAATCATCCAAAATCAAGTTATCTGACAGGGTACAGAAAGTGTCTGACATTGTTCTATCAAGTTCATAATGAAAATGAAATACCGCCATGTTGCTGTTGGGGTGTGCCGTGCCCGACTCTAGGATCGCCGATTGATTTCCTAAGGGACTAATGCTCATAGGAGGTCTGTCTATTTCCAGTTGAATTCCAGGGAACACCTTTCTTTCCACTGAAGAAGGGATTCCAGTTTCCAAACACAGGCCTTCCTCTGTGACAGAATTGCATGTTTCATAAAACTGGCTCTGTGGAAGGCCACGCTGATGGTTTTCCAATCTGTTGTTGCAGTTAATGTTAAGGTTTTCCACAGAATCTGGTGTGCTTTTCTCCCAGAACTGTTCATTACTGTTCTCATCACTCATTATTTTTTCCCTTGCTATTGAGAGAATCTTGGGCAAGTTGCTTCCAGAAGGTTCTTCTTTGTTTGGTTTTGAGATGGTATGTGAAGTCTGCCCACTCTGCCTGGTAGTATGTACCTTTGGAACACTGATGTCTGAGATCTTTTCACTATTTTCATCTATAACTGACTGAGAAGATACCACTTTTCTCTGAGTCACAGGAATGAGAACAGAAGCTGTCATTTCTTCAGAAGTCATCTTGACCAACACACAGGTTTTAGCTACTGCTCTGTTTCTCCTCCCTGGTGATCATGTCAAGATTTTAATAAAATGACGGGTTATCAAAATAATCTCAGATATACAATTCCTCTGAGAAACAAAGTGATAGTTCCTTTCATTCAGGTGAATTAAGAGCCAAACAAATTTCTCCAGTTATAACTTCCTACCATATGCAATATGTTTTTCTAGATCAGGGTTTTAAGGTGGTAGATCAATTTCCTTTTCTCTGTTATTTAAAGCAATTGTTTTGAAGACTTTTATTCGGGATTGCATTCTGCAACTTCTGATCCATCACTGATTTAGAATGATTTAAAAATCCAGTTTGAAAGTCTCCTGTAAGAAAAAAGAACAATGTCAAACACTGTGACACTAAATGAATTTTTAAATGAGCTCATAATTTTAAATTAATGCAAAATATGAACCAATTTTAAGGAAAGAATTTTGCAATCGTAAGTTAGTTTTACAGTCATGGGGATGTAAAGTGCAGCATAGGGAATATAGTCAATAATACTGTAATAACTATGCATGATGTCAGATGGGCACTAGAATTATCGGGGATGATCACTTCATAAATTATATAAATGTATAATTACTGTGTTGTACACCTGAAACTAATATAATATTGTATGTTAAATGTAATTGGAAAATTTTTAAAAATTTAAAGATATGTAATAAAAAAATAAATTAGTTTTAATGTTTTTTTTTCTTGATTTAATATTTCAGAAGTTCTGTTTCCAGACAAAATGGAGTAACAAGGACTAGATTTATCCTCCTGCCTTAAACAACTGGGAAAAAATAATGAACTAATGGTTTTCAGATATTGAATAGGCAACACAGAACAGTGATCCCTGACAAAAGAAAAATAAATAAGGTGAGCCCTATAAATGCCCTAGCTGACAGCTTGAGAGTTCCTAAGCTACAGGGGAAGGATATGGAACTCAGGTAGAATTGAACGGTGTGCATTAGTTAAAGAGAAGAAGTTGAGAGTTCAGTGAGGCCAAGGAAGCTAGAGAAAGAAGACATATTAAGTAGAGGGGGCAAAGATAGGGATGATAGCAGGCTTCTCATGAGAAATAATGTAAGCCAGAACAGAGTGGAATAAATCTTTAAAATACTGAAAGAAAAAATGCTGCCAACTTTGAATTCTATACCCAGCAAAAATATCTTTTGAAAACAATGAAATAAAGACTTTTTAGACATACAAAAGCTGAAAGGATCCATTACTAGTAAGCCTGCTTACAAGAAATGGTAAAGCAACTCTTTTAGGCAGAAGGAAAATGACAACAGATAGAAATCTGTATCTATGCAAAGGAATAAAGAGTATGGAAAATGCTAAATATGTGGGTGAATACAATTTTTCTTTTCTTACTTAAGATAATTGACCATTTAAAACAAAAAAAATAATAATGTATTGTGGGGGTTCTAACAAATGTAGAAATAAACTGTGTGACAATAATAGCACAAAGGTCAAAAGAAGGGAAATGGGAGTGTACTGTTATAAGATTATTTCTTATTTGCATCCAGAATATATAAAGAACTATTAAAACTCCATAATAAGACAAATAACCTCATTTTTTTAATGGGCAAATGTTTGTATAAGCACTGTACAAAACAGAAATACAAATGACCTACAAGATCATGAAAAGATGTTCAACATTGTTGGTCATCAGGAAAATACCAATTAAAATCACAATAAGATAGTACTTCATTTTCACTATAATGGCTAAAATTAAAATGACTGGTAAGCGGGGAAGGGGGTGGTAGAAGAGGGTAAACAGGGTCAAATATATGGTGATGGAAGGAGAACTGACTCTGGTAGTGAACAGACAATGTGATATATAGATGATGTATTACAGATTTGTACACTTGAAACCTATGTAATTTTACTAACCATTGTCACCCCGATAAATTTTAATTAAAATGACTGGCTATCACAAAGTTGGTAAGAATGTGGAGCAACTGGAATATTGTTGTGGGAGTGTAAAATGTCAAAGCCACTTTAGAAAACGGTTTGGCAGTTTCTTAAAAAGTAAAACATATTCATACACTTACCATATTACCCAAAAATTCCACTCAGAGAAGTAAAAGCATACACTCACAAATGGACTTGTATGCAAATTTTTATATCAGCTTTATTCATAAACGCCCCAAACTGGAAACAACCCCAAAGTCTGTCAACAGACAAATAAACAACATGTGGTATACTCATACAATAGAATACTGCTTAGTAATAAAAGAAATAGTCTACTGATTATGTAATAAACATGGATGAGTCTCAAAAACATTAGGTTGTGTGAAAGAAGCCAGACACTGAATGATTCCATTTATCTGACGTTCTAGACCTGTGCTATTCAATAGTGTAGCCATCATTTCAGGTGAACACACAGCACCAGGATAGTGGAATCAAACAGTCTCAACTTGGGTCCCACCTCTGCCACTTAATAGGCTGACCTTGCACAACTCATTTAACCTTGCTAAGACTTAGTTTCCACACTTGTAAAATGGGGGAAAATAATAGATTCTCATGTAATCTTCATAATAATCCTACGAAATGGTTATCCCTCAAAAAATAGTACTTTTTTTTCTTTTAAGATTTTTATTGGGGAATTGGGGGAAGGGGAACAGACAAGTTGCTATCCTTTTGTTCTTGAGTCTAGTTGTGGAGGACGTTGCTTCACTGGCCCAAGTTGGCACCATCATTGCGCTCTTCCTGGGTGAGGCAGATCAGTCGCCGGCTTCTGGACGGCCGCTAATAGCGGCTGCTGGCTACACATTGTAGCCCATGGCAACCCACTGCCACAGGGGCTGCAGCCTACGCCTTCGCCAGCAACTCACAGCAACCCAGCTCCAGGTCAAGCTGTTGTTCAGCATCTTAGCTGTAGAGGGCAGTGTCACTGGCCCTCACATGTGGGATCCGAACCGGGGCCCTCTGGCGTCCCAAGCCAGGTCTCAACCAACGTGCCACTCGGCCAGCCCCAGTACTTTTTATTCTTATCATTATAAAAACCTCTCCTGAGTCATCACAAGTTACTTCCTGATACAGGCCCATGTTCATTTCTTTTAAATCACCTTCCAGTACAATAATGATAAAGACTTGATAAATATTTGTGTAGAATATTATTTGTGTGCTAGTATGTGATAATTTTCCTTATATCATCCAGTGCATGCAGCTAAATTATTTTTTAAGTTTTACAAGTTTACTGGGTGCTTAGCACATGTGCCAAAGTGCCACATGACTTCACAAGAAAAGAAAGCCACAGTCCCTGTCTACAGGGAAATCATTTGTGATTACAGAGCCATAAATAAAAAAACTAAGAATATGTGCTAATATCATAAAATATGAAATTGTATAGTACCGGCAGTTAAAAAGTGGGTCAATCATTCAATAGTGTTTGTACTAATTGTGTAATAGATAAAGAATGAAGATAAAGATGGCAGAAACTAGCATGGACTCAAGTCATCAGCAAAGGCTTCCCAGAGAATGTCATGGTCTATAAAGGATGACTCTGCCCTGGGAAGTGAGGTCAGGGAGAAATCACAGGAGAAAGGGGGTCTTGGCTATTTCTTGGAGCTGGGATGGAAGGTCATGAGTTGGCTGGCACGTGGAGGCTACTCTACCCTTGCTAAGCATAATCGCAACAGAAGCAGTAAAACCATCCTGGACAGGTGCTCGAAAGTTCTCATACCAGGTCAAGGCAGCACACTTTGGAAGCCTTGCAATGAAAGGGAAGAGAAAAGTGGGAAGGACCCAGAATGGCTTCTTTGAAGCCCTTGAATTACCCACCCCATGCATCAAAAATATAATGGCCTTCCCCAAGCAGCCAACTGCCACCATTTGCTAGGGTCCCTATAGCTCATGTTACAAGCAATGTTTAATTAATTGATAGTTAGTTAGGCAACATCAACACACCTATTCACTAAATGTCTTTATCAAAGTGGTATTTTATAAGTCATGCCTCAATTAATGTAATTGTCTTTCCAAAGAATTAAAAATACATGTGATGAAAACTAGCTCACTCTGGATGAGCTAAACATAATAGAACCACTCTACTACCCTAACACATTCTCAAATTACAGTCGCTCAGTAAAATGATCCAGATTTAATCAAAATAAGATATGATTCAGCTTCTGCAAACTCTTTTCTTCATGGCTGTGCTTTCTGTACTCCCTCCTACCTGGGTCCCCACATTTGATACCTAGCCTACATGTTATCATCACACCAAGTAAAACATTTTCCAGACTAAATAACTCTCCAGTTTCATAGCTGTTCCCCCTCAAAGCCCTAGCAGATGGAAAGCATTTTAAATCCACATAGTTAGTGCATAAGATGGCCATTTCTAGCCATTTTCTTTTTTTATATTACATTATATTTAACACCATCACCAATAAAGGTCTTCAGAGGTCCTCTGGACAGCAAGCTTAAAAAATTCTTCCTGTTCTTCATAGATGCCCACAATAACATCAAATTCTGGGTGAAGGCCTAAGCCAACAGCCGACTCAAACAGTTGATGTCATTCTAACATCTTGTTTTCGATAGAGTTAAAAATGCAAATAGTACACCTGAAATCTATGTAATTTTGCTAACAATTGCCACCCCAATAAACTTTAATTAAAAAATAATGCAAATAGAATACCTCGGTAAAGCTCAAAGTCCATTTTAGCTGTTCTTCTGATTTACTACTAAGAGGTCATCATCCAAAGAGAGAGAAACACTATTATTCATATTTTTTACCTGATTGAAAAAATAATGAAGCAAACAAGTTTTGAGGGGTGTTGTTGTTTAAATTTGTTGAATCTGTAGGTTATACCTTGGCGTTTTTGCTCTTTTTCAGGGCAGTGTAACCCAAAGTACAGAGCTGTTTGCTGAGTCCACATACTGAAGCAAGCAGGACTGGTCTGACTTAAACTAGCATCCTTCAAGCCATTCCTGAGCCTCTGACAGAAGGTGGTGGGAAGGAGATACCCAGGGAGGCTGAGAGGTATGCAAGTAGAGGAGCCATGATATGGCCAATCTCAGGATCTGGATGCTGTGGGCTCCTCAGTAAATTAACTATGCACAGGTAGTGCTATGCTTGGTAAGCATAGTAAGTATAGTAGGTGTAGTCCATTTTTAGTATCCTTATGTCATTATTTCAAACATCAGTTGTGATTTTTATGATGAGTGCCAGGGATAAAAAAACAAAGCAAACTTTGGCAAAAGGGCTGTACCACATTCTACACTAACTGTTTAACAAATAACACCTGTTATTTTTTTTTCTGATGATAAAAGTAATACACATTTACTGTAGAAAATCTGAGTAAAGGCTGAGAAGTATACAGTAGCAAAGATAAGG